ACATATTTCATTTAAATTTCCGGGGCCGTTACATAGTTGGATATCCCTATGGGCTCCTAGGGATACCAGTAGGCAAATAAAGATGAAAAGTTATTGTTCTTGCTCACTTGAATATAAGATTAGAATGTTATTTGGGTTATTGTCTCTACAGATCGATTTTAGAAATCTCGCAAACGGTAAATATAGGCAATAAATGATTTTCTTTATAATAAATGAATTTACTTAAATCAATAGCTCCATTGGTTATTTTTATAATTTTTACCAACTTTTAGTTTCTGTATCGGTAAGTAGTGTGATATTTTCACTAAGTTAGTATAACTCACCCTTTCATTAACTATTTCAGATCAAGAAAAACAAGACTCAGATCCCGATCAACAAGAGAGTTATGAATAGTTCATCACCCGAACTCCTTTCAAAAGGTAGTGAAGGTCGTCCTAGAATGTCAATCATATTGTTTTTTATTTATTTTCTTGATTTTGTTTATTTTTTTAGAATGGTCGTTCTCGTATTCCTATTGAACACTTTAAATTATTGTGTAAAGAATGTAAACCCTAAATTCTATTATTTCACTTTTGCATTTAATATATGAATTTATTTCCTTTTAATTTCTGGCCCGTTCCAATTTGGCTTTTGAAAAAAGGGTATTTAAATATAGAAACATATATTTATTTGATTTTGAATGATGAATCGTTATCTATGTTAAATTTAATTTCTAACAAATATGTCTAATCATCAAAATAAAAATTTAACAAACATATACAATTGTAAAATAATAAAATTTTATTTTTCCATAAACTTCCTCTTAAATAAATTAAAAAGTAGAAATGAAAAGGTGGTCATTTTTTCCACTCCAGACACTTTTGTTTTACTAGACACCACTACATTAATTTATTGTTTTTAAATCAAAAAAGACGTTCGAATAAAAATAATTTAAAAAACGTGTGGAAGCAAATTAATTTCATTATTTTGAAACATTTTTCCACAAAGATTCATAATTAACTCATCTTTCTTAAAGAAGATTTTTTGGGTTTATTGGGGACAGCTTTCTTATGACCTGAAACAATCCAATCTCACCAGATGAAGTCCATAAGCTCTGAAAATCTTTAACCAAAGCTGCTATATTATGAAAACTTCATGAATTATTCTCATTACCATGATCATTACACAGCATAAAACCTCTACTACTCTTACATCTAATCAAAATTTGGGTTCCTTCTTTTTGTAGTTTTTTGTTTAGCATATTGTATAGGTATATACGCAGGGCGGGTTATGGCCATGGCCTTCTTTTCTTTCTTTTGATAATTTGGCCGGCTATATTGCAAGAATTCCGGTTGAGAAAATCTGGCCTCTGGAGTAAGGTGAGGTGGAGGTCTCTGCAGATCTTGATGCTTCTGATCTGCATTGCTCTTTGCGCTCATCCATCATTATCTGCCTTGATCGACACTCTGTGCTACAAAATGCTTTCTCCCCTCTGTATATCACCAAATAACTTATCATCATCACTCTCAGTTCTCATATAAATAACACAAAAAGCTTAATTAACAAGCTTTTCGTTACTTATTCAGTAAGAAATACAAGATGTTGCAGGATAAATTAATCAAAACTAGTTTGCAATTTCTACTACTACGTACAACGGGTTTAGTAAAAATAGATTTCGATCAATACCCAATACAATATTACGGAAGAATCAAGGTATATGTTGATTACCCAAAAGCAAAATTAAAGTAAATCAAGGTACTCTATCAAGTAAAAGGAAGAGTTGAATATTTACCTATACATGTATATGTCTTCGCCATGGAGTTTCTTCCTGCACAAGTGACATGAACTGAGAAAATCCAGAGTTGGGTACCCTGAAAGATCATCAAGAAATCTCGCCGGCGATTCCTTAACGGCGGAATAGTTATTACATACAATCCTCTCATCACTTCTTACACCATCGTAATAAACCTTAGTTGTAGACCTGTTAGGTCCATGGGACGTGACATACGTATAATTCTCCAAGCTCTCCATCTCCAAATCCTCAAAACCTGGTTTAAACTTGTCAAAGTTCTTCCCACACGGAATTGGATCTGAACGATTGGAACCCCCAACTGCGTACTTTACCAAAATTTCATGCCTGCCCACATCATTACATTTCTTCTCCAAAGCAGCAACAATCCCCAAACCAACCCCACCAACGTCGTACACCTTTAATCCTCTAGGCGATTGGATTTTCAAGTCTAGTGGACTTCTAGGGCTGGTGACGCCGTCGGAAACGGCAGTCCGATTGCCGGAAACCAACAACTCGGATATCTTTCCGATCATTGGGTTGATGTTGAGAATGTGGAGTGAAATGGAGGAGCTGGTTTATAAAAGGTGGAGAAGGAAATGGTTTGATGATGGAGTTGGTAGAATTAGCCCATTGGTTTTTTGTTTATAAGATGATGGGTGATGGATGATTTGCCGAAAATAAATTAAATTATTTAACTCCATTATTTACTAATAAAAAATAATTCCAAAGATAATTTAGTAAGTGGGCCAATTATTTTAAAACGTCCATATCTTATGATTGCGACCTGATCTCGGGATTGGGTCCCGCTGATGTTACTAAAGATTCCTCTCCCATCATCACCGTTCATCGTCAGGATACGTGGCATTAATCCACTCGATGCGGGACCCACTCAATAATTACTCAAACCACCAAAGTGTAGCTGTATTAGCTCACTGAATTGGAGGAGGCCCAATGTTTTGTTTTTTCTTTTTTTTGCCCCTTTTGGTTCGTCGCTTTACAATAATGCCCTCCAGGACACCACAATTGCGTAATTTTAACTTTTTTTTTACTAACCTATTTTTACCCACCAGATAAAGTTAATTAACTTTTTAGATTACCACTCTTAACAATAATAATAATTTCTGTTTATGTTATAATTATGTAATATTTTCTTGTGCTTAATGCTGTGTAAAATGTAATTATATCCTTAAGTAAATTTGGAATATATTATATGGTCCCTATTTCAGTCAACTCTTGGTGTGACCATTATTTGATTCTAAATTTTATTTGTTTAAATTTATTTGCCATTTTAAAATTATTTAAAATATATAATTCATTGGGATTAGAATAATTTCAATTATAAAAATAAAGAAAATAATATATAAAGTAGTAATAATTTGGATGTTACCTAATAGTTGATACCTTTAAAGATGGACCCATTCCTAGTACCTCCAAAATAGAACGCTCAACTTTACAAGGCAAGTTCAGGTCCCGCTCCATCACGTGGCAATTTATGATAGGTTTACATCCACGTGAGTTAACTCGATGGACCGAGTTTCCTCGGTGTGGACTCATCAATCAATTGTTTTATCTTTTAATAATTGTTTCTGAGCATGGTTGCAGTGTCCAGATGTGACGCCTTTTTATTATGTTTAATAATCTTTTTTTTTTAATAAGCTGAAAATGATTTAAATTTGTATAAAAAAAAATTTATGAAATACAAGAAAAAAAATAATCTACGTTTTAAAATTATCTTATAAATTATCATTAACTTTAAATCTTTAGTAGTTAAATTTAACTTGTTCAGATGAATTTTCTCAACAGGTAATGAGACTGAATGAATTATAAAGAATAAAGGGAGACAATTTTGAAAATTAAAAAAAAAAAAAAAAAAAAACTAAAACTAAAAACAAATAATTATAAAAAAATTGAGAAAAAAAAATAGAAACAGGAAAGAAAAATAAAAACAAGAAATGGAAAAACCAACATATTTAGTAAGAAAAATTAATCTTTTTTTTTTTAAAAAAAAATTTTATTATTTGATGAAAGATAAGAGAACCTTTCCTCTCTATTTTTCATCACAAAAATTATTGTTTATGATTTTTTCTTAAAGAAATTACTACTCATAAATTATAATTTTTAATTAATTATATAATT